AGTTCTGAGAGCTTCTAGCCCAATTTATGCTGCCTTGACACAAAAACTATGTCATGCTATATGCTTTGGTCTTTGAGTCACCAAGGTCTAGAAGTCTGAAGTGCAAACTGGAGGTAAGTCCGCATAGCAGAATAGGCTATTGAGAAAATTACAGGGGCGCAAAGGTGGGAAAATAACAACCCTGTCATGAAAGGAGAAGCTAAGCAAAGCATCTCTAACAGCTATGTAAATAAGTAGGCAGAGTGGTGAAAAGCCCATATGATTAGAATTCATAGCTTTTACAATCTGAACATGGCACACATTGTGCACAGCTGCTTCAGGCCAATAAGAGAGCCATCTGAGTGTCCAGAGCAATGAAAAGGTAGCTGCACAATGAAGGATCACTTCAAAGAACTTGTAAACAATGGTAGACCCATTTCAATCATGTGTGCTGGTAGATAATCAACTAAAAATAAACACATCCTCCTACGTTTCAAACATCACTCACCAGGCGTGGGCAGACCAGGACGCAGCCAGTGAATATTCACATCAAAATAAAACATTTATGCTAGAAATAAATGTCAAATGAGATCTAATTTAGCATGAAGTCTAGCTAAAGGTCCTGCAGATAGCATCTTATACACTGAAGCATCTTGACGGGACATCTGTCATTGCTTAATGTGCTTCTGCCCCGTCTTCATGGATTCCCTCTGAAAGGTCACCAGTGAAAGCTTTTTAATACCTCCTAGAACAATCTGCATCCGCATTCTACGACCCGAAAGACGCACAACATGTTCTAAATCCATCTGCTCTTCCTGCAAAAGAGCAAGAAGGCAAAATATCTAAAAGCACTATCTACTATGGAGGCATCTAAGGGCAGAAAATATCTAATATATCTACACTAAAGCTACAGTTGGATCACCAATGCTATTTTAGCTTTAGCTCATGCTCACCTCATGCCACCCCCACCGCTGCTCCAAAAGAGCAAAGTATTTAAATAATATAATCGGTGGGGCTGAAGTAGAGGTGCCTAGCGACCTCCAGGCGGGTGTAGTTGTGGAGGATCCAGGCCTGTAAGGGGCTGTTGTTACAGTACTCCACGGTGGGGCCATAGGTGCCATCCTCCAAACGGCTGATGGTCAGGCATGATTGGGTGATGATGTGGAGGAAGGTGTGTTTCTGCACGGATCCAGAAAGGAAGAGGGACACATGGTTTTTGAAAGTAGGGAAGGTAATTATTTATACCAAGAAATTGGAGTGTCAGTTTTCACAGTACATGTAGATTTTCTTTATGTTTCCGTCATACATTTCTCATTAAACCAGACCAAAGACCAGATGAACACTGGATGAACACTAATATATCTACCAAAACTTATAAAAACTATAGAGAACCAACACTTGAGGTGAACATATCTGAGCCAAGCTACCTTTTTAACATCCTACATTCATTTTTTAAAATCTGTCAACAGGAAAAAAGAACTACAATTTATTTTGATTAATTTGTGTATGTATGTATTGGTATGTATGCTCAAACAGTTGCATACAGGGTATTATTGTTGGAAATACTACTTCTTTAATGAGCTAGAAACAGTACATATAACAAAATAATTTAACCTAATCAGATTTTATTGCTTTAAGAATAATTTTAATCAAAAATTGTTTTCTTGATGGAATTGAAATGTTTTTATTGTTTTGGTTTGTTTTAATAAAAAATGGCATACCGGTAGTTAAAGTTTTCTTTATCCTGATGAATAATCAACAGAAAAATCTAGTAACAATAAAACCTTTCAAAAAGTTGATTTATGTCTTGCATGCTTCCCATTTTGCTTTGATGATTTATTCTTTCTTAAAGGCAACTCTTTGTATTTGAAAGACCCCTTCCCATCATCTTTAGCTCCTGGAAGATAATCAGATTGGAATTCTGGCTTGACCAATCCAAAGAGATTATACATTATTTAGTAAAAAGAAAGATTTTGGTCAAATGTAAAGATTACGTGCATTAACCTGAATCTGGCTCAACAGTAGGTAAACAAATGGCTGTAATTAAGTTTGCTCATATTTGAATAATTGCTCATAACTGCTCATATTTAAATAATTTAAACATAAAAACCTTAAATAAAATCTGCATTTTGGAGTTATAAGTTTGTATTTCTCTTAAACAAAATAATGTATATATATATATATATATATAATGCAAAAATGGTGAATAAAGTGGCATGTTGACAGAATTTTAACAAAAAAAAAGGGACGATTTCCAAAAAAGTTATAACACTTCAATTATGGCAAAAGCATCATAACATTTCAAATGAGAAGAAGCCATATTTTTCAAAGGAAACACAGGAGTATCAGAAACTAAATATAAGAAAGTGAGCTGATGAGCAAATTAATATTTCAGGGTTCTCCAGCGACCAAACATTCAGTCCTTATCAGTCACACCTGGGCTAAAAATAACCCTGAATCCCCAATAGTGTATACCAGTATGAAAGACTGGTTTGCTTTATTCATTATTTATTCAGACTTTTTTTTCCCACTTTAAGAAAGCGCCCTGAGCACATGTCGTAATTAAAGAATTCCTCATGGGGTTTGATCAGTGCGTGATGGAAATGGCCTGTGGGCTTCTTTGCCTTGCCATATTGACACGCAAGCCATGTGACAAGTCAATCACTCACAGATTAGACTGCAGGACCTTTAAAGCATGTCCCCAATGATTTCAAAATGCATAAATAGTTAAAACAAAAATGGTTTTTGGAGTTGTATAAGCTGATATCTTTTTGACCAGTCAGGCAACAAGGCTTAAGAAGGCTTAGGGGGGAATATTTTTTACTTTTCCCATGAGCATAAAATGCCATGTTGTGTCTTTAACACAACATCTGATTCCTCATTCGACTGAATATTAAATTTACATTTTTCACAGACAGGAGTATACAGTAAAATGAAACTTTAGTGTTTGATATCCAGTGTGAACCAATGTCATTCATCTTGCTGAACAAATGAAAGTTCTAAAATAGATGTGCAATTGTGTAATTTAAAATCTGTATTTTCTCTAGTGTGTAGAACATGGTGACAAAAGACCCCTAATGCACACAGATGTTAACTTTTTTTAAAGCATTCTTAGTGTATTTTAATCATTTAGATTTTAAGAGGTTATGTTTGATTTTTAAAGCAATGTTTGCAAAAAAATATGTGTTTTTGTATCATTATTTGCTTCCAATATCTTGATCAACAGAGAAAATAAAAGGTTCAATTTAAGTTGTTTCATAAAAGAAGATTTTTACAGGTTTTTGGCCTGTTGAGAATTTCTAATTAATAACATTCAGATGTAAAGAGCTTCCCGTATAGATTTTTAGTTCAATCCTTAGAACCTGTGATTCTCTATGGTCACCACAGGCTATCACAGCACTGGGAGCACAGGATACGAGTTAATCTATTGGAAGTTAAAGGATGGAGAATTTAGACAGCTTACCTCAAAATCATACTCCCACTTGCCAACATACTATATGAAATGAGAGAAGATGAGAGGAGACACAGCTGCTGGATGGAAATAGCAACTCAACACTGTGCGGTGTAAAAAAAAAATATAGAAAACAAAAAACAACGCCATCTAGTGGCAGAAAAAAAAATGTACTCCATTTTCTATTGCTTCTACAGTTTTTCTCTGTTGCTTTAGTACATTTATCAGATGAAAAATTGCTAAGTTGTTAAAAGCTACTTATTAAATCTTCACATTCTTGTGTCTTTGGGCACAAAAGCAGTTTCTTTGAACAAGTTGGAATTGCTTTGGAACATTCATGCAAATATTTATGTACAGTTGAGCTGTTTTACCACATTATTAGTCGCGCTGTTTCAATGTTATGTTCAGCAAAATACATTATATTGGGTCCCTCATAGTCTCATCCATCACAACATTTAGGCCTTAGTTCATCATATAAATAAGTTGTCATAATATGTCAAGCTTATATTTTTATTTTAATTAACTTCTGTTCTAAAACTGTCCTTAATTTGCAAAAACCCAAATTCATATGAAGCTTGAATTTTACTAATGGAGAGAAATTTTGAAGCAATAGATCAACCAGTAATCGGAAACAGCCTAAGTGTGCATCACATGAACCATCAACTGGCAAATATACAGTCGGAGCTCAACACAATGTGACAATGTCTGATAAATGGAGAGGGAAGGACTTGAATGGGGTCAACGACAAGCAAGAGGATGAAGGGTGAAGCTGCATAGCAGAGAAGAGGGAGGAAGAATCAGAGGAAGCAGAGGACATATGAGAGTTCCTGATGAGATAAAAGCCACGATTTTAGAACACCTTCTCAATCATGTGCTCACAAGTGGCAGGGGTTGGTCAAAGGGTGCAGTCATATGCTTATAGAAGAAATGTGTCATTCAGACGTTTTATCAACATAACAGGTATGTAATTCCTAGCTTTATCAACAGTTTTCCCTAAGGAGACCATCCTGAATCCAAATTTTCAGTTTTGTTTTTGTTCTTTATAGTGCTGTCTTTTCCTTTCTATGGTGCAATAACCCAGTCAGTCAACAAAGCACAGTACAAACAGTAAAACTGTAAATCAGAATATTGTCCAGTTCCTTGCAATCGACTCTATACGTATGATAAACTATCAGTTATAACTAATCATAAACAGAAGTCCAGCAATAGTTCATAAGAAAATCCCTCCAGAATACACTAGAAACATCATTTTACTGTCTAATAAACAGAGTGAGAAAATGACTTTTATTCAGATGGCACCAACATGTTTACAGACAGATTTTTAGTTTTGAAAGATGAGACAACCTTTTGCAGGTAATCAATGGTGTTTTGCTTTGTGTTCAAATTGTTTTGAGAAATGCACAAACTATCTAACAAAAGTTGAGGATGATTCAAGAAATGTAGCAGAGCAACAGAAAATATGGTGTAATAATAACCCACTCCTTTAAATTTAAGGGGAAAAAATCATCAGGGGCCAGATGGACCACCTACAACTGCTTCATTTAGTCCCTGCAGTAAACACAGATCCTACCTCGGTGTCGTACTCAAACATCTGGTTTCCCTTCATGTGGTGACACTTGAGCATTTTGACGGGTCCGTTAAGCCTGGAGACATCCAAACAAAGGTCATCCGTCCGGATTTCTTTATCCGCTGTATATGAAAAGACCTGGGGGTTGCAACATGAAGATTAAAGACAACTAATTTCATTTAAAATATTGACTTTTGGCTGCAGTGGAGAGTTTGAATACATTCAACTGGAACAAAGTACTTTCTAGGCTGAGAAAAGTCATTTTAAATGTTCCTTCAACTGCAGGTGTGAAAACAAACCTTTAACAGGTTTTATCCCGCTAAATGAAGCCCTTCATCTTTGTGTATTTAAAAAGTGCATCAGTTGTTTTTTTTTCATGATGTTTAAAAATGAAGAAAAATTGTTATACTAAATAATCCAAATGCCATGTATATATTATTTCAATTAGATTTATTTTTCTAAAGATTTTTACAGCTAGAACCAACTTCAAAACACTATCATACATCTGAAGGATCTGTAGAAATTACCACAGTCATTTCTATTTGTTAAATGCCAAAATAATTAGAGAACTTTTTGTCACACTCTCCATATTCTGGTCATTTTGAACACAAAAATTACTCAGTTTTTAAAAATTTTGGAAAATGCCTTAGACTTATAAGCTTCTGCTTAAATCAATTTGAGTTTTTTTTTTTTTAAACTTGTGGCATCAAGTAAATCTTAATTTGTTCTCATGTGACATCTATGTTATGTTATATATTCCCTAAGTAATATTTCCTGATGCCAGATGTGTACAAATGACAACATCCAGTACTCAAAATGTTCAGCAAAGATACTCCATCAGGAAGAACATTATATGGGAACATTGAAAAACATGAATTTAAAGTCAGGCTAATAATGCTTCTTAATGCAGCTGATGAAAAATTAAGTAAGAAGCGCCTTACTAAACAGGTTTGCAGAAAAACTATGAAATCAATATGCATCTTCAGTAGAGTCAGACATTTTATTAACCATTCCTGTATGTTGAAGTTATATTATGTTTAAAATATTCACATTTTATTGCAATTGTGCGTGGGTGCTACATGTCAATCATATCTTCATAAGATTTTCATTCATTTAAGAGATTTTTATAAATAATGAATTTCTCAAATAGCCTCTCCTCATATGCTCTTTTTATAAAAGGCAACATTTTGTCCATATTTAATGGGGACATATATTGTATATGTCTGTTTATGTAAAAATGTGTGCATTTAATTACCGATTTGCCAATAGTTTTTCCATAGCTTATTAAAATATTCTTTTGAGACTCAAACCTATTTAACAAGACATTCTGGGGATTTATGCTTATCATTATGCAGCACATTTTAAATATTTTAAATATAGAGGACCTTTTATTTGGACAATACTACCACCAGCTCTTCCATCCATAACTACATATTTTTCTTATAAAAGTTATGCTAATCACAAATTGCATATAACATGCATATTTAATACATTTGATATACTGACTTGTCTTTTTGTGTTGCTGTGAATTATTACATTAGCAGAGGTGCCTTATAAGAGCCTAGGGCCTTTTTAACCTTTCCTTTAAACTGTGTATTATTGTTGTAAAAATTTTTGTATGTGAAAATAAATCTAAATCTAAATGGACAATGAACCTTAGCAATGGGCCAATATTCTAGAAAACGATCGGGTAGAAATTTTTTAAGAAATAACCAAGAAAAACAATTAAAAGGTGAAATAAAATAATCTCTCTCATCATTGCGGTTTATAGCAAATGGAAATCTTTTTTTACGGACCACTGAAGGCATATTTCTTTTATAATACGCTGCTGCTTCATGGATAAATTACAGTAGATGGTGGACAGCTGGGAATCTGGTAGGTGATGGAAGGAATGTTGGTGAGCATTTCTGATTTACATCTGATATAAATGACATGAATACATTCTAACAAGTCAATAAAAATAAAAAGCTATAGAATTTTAAAAGTGGCAATTTTTTATGAATTAAAAAAATGACATGTAATAATGCGATATATAGAATGTTTACAAGATAACCAGTGTTTTCCCTGAACAACATGTATAAAAGGCTGTATCTAAACCTGCTGTATCTAAAAATAAAGTTGCTCTCTCACCTGGTTGCCACCCATGCCATGACAGTTGAAAAAGCCAACTTTCTCATTCTCCTTCCGTCCCATGTTGTCCACACACTGGTTTGTCTCCACATTTCTGATCTGTAGGCAGATGCATAACAGGAGTTTTTTGTTTTGTTTTATTCTTTATTATAATCAAGAAAATTAACCTCTGTCCACTGTCCTGTCTTCAATTATTCTACCATTCAAAACAACTACTTTTAAAACCATCATACTGAAAACTTTATATTGTCCTCTAGTTGGTTAGTTTTGTAATTTTAAACTTCTCAATTAAGTTAACAGGTCAAAGATTTGAATACATCTTCCTGTTAGAAAACCAAAGATAGACATCTGATGGTGGCAGTGATGGAAGCCAGCTCCAACCCAGATCTGTCAGGAGCATTTATCAAACTGGAAATGTAATTTCTTTGATAAAACATAAGAAAATTAAGTATATTCAAGCTGTTTAGCAAAACTAATAAGATGGGGCTACAGGTAAATCAACACTTCATGCACTTTTATTGCCATTTTCTCCCCTTTCTATGGGATTTGCTTCCTTTTAAAGAGGAATTTCATGCATGCACACTGACATGAATCGCATGTAAATTTATATATAAATTTGGCTTTCTAGAACTGGAAGAGCAGCAGACAGAGTGCACCTATAGACATGACCTCGATCTCTCTGTGGACTGAATGGCTTCAGATAATTAGTGCAAGGTCTATGGAGGCATGGGCAAAAAAATCGTAGTATAAATGTTTCTGTTTATATTTCCTTTTTCATTATCTAAAATAAAACATACATAACTTTACATTAAGAATACAGCTGTTGTCTTTGATATACCACATCACAACTTAGGCTCATTTTCCAACCCACTGATCACAATTGTATTTGAATTACTGACATTTCCCTTTCCAAAGGCCATCTCACCTGTTCAGCTTGTAATTATTCATAGCCATGGTAGATTAGCTGAACATTAGAGTGAAGGTAGGCTGGCTTTCCAATCTCAAAAACTAAAAAGAAAAATTTATGATAATTAATCAAAATTATGAGTAATAACACCCAGAAAGAAGGTCAATAAAAAATTATATGCATTTAAATATCTAATGGTAATTAAGAAGGATAAAAATATTTTTTGAAAATATTGCAGAACCAATTTTTAACTGCGAATTTTTCTCATTCATTTGTAAAAAATAATTTTGGTTTAGATATCAATTTAATATTTTTGAAAGAAACTGAAGATATCAAAATGTAGTATCATTTATTATGATAAGAAGAGTCTTAAATCCTATAAATCTTGCATTATTTTTACAGTAATCTAATCACCCCAGTTTGGCACTCTTTCCTTTAAGGATTTGCAGAACAGACAATAAAGCGTGGTTAAAATTCTGTGTAAAAAAATACACAGAATAGTTAAAACAATAACTCTCTGCTTTTAAATGCCTTAATGGTTTCTATGAGGTGTTAAAACATGTCGTAACATCAAATGTAAGAAAGTAATAGAAAACGCTGTCACCATATCGTTATTGACTGTGGAAAAAATTAAAAATAAGATTAAAAATAAATAAAAATAACACAAAGAAACTGTTTACGAAATGTGTAAACCCCAAAATTTAAAATCAGTGTTCTTTCCTACACCATAAAATAAAGTTTTAATCAAAAATACATTATATTAAAGGAGCAATACTGCCGTAAGTGCTGAGTTTTGAGTTGCCCATGTTATCAAGTCCTCTTATGGCTTCTAATTGACTCAGCAGTATCTTTAACTGCTGCATTTGTAGCTCTTAACAACTAAAACGACACAGTTAAGAAATACTAAACCCAGCATTTACAGCTGTTACAAAAAGGCTGATAGTGTTACTTTAATGGAGATCCAGCCTCACAGAAGTCTGGCTAAAAGAAAAATTGCGACAAGAGGTGAAATAAACAAACTCATCTTTTTTAAAGTGACATGCAAGCAAAAAGTAATGGTGAAAAATCCTCCTATCTTCAGCTGTTAGAGGATACTAAGCCGTTTTATTCACACTACCTTTTAAATGGCTATTTAAGGCAATTTAGGGCTATAATGACTATAACAAACTCTGCATTGGAACAGACATGCATAAAAAAAGGCAAATCGGGTTACTAAAAGTTAGCAGGGGCTTAAACTTGTAATATCTTGCTAACTAAAAAGGTCTTATCTTAGCTGAAGATCAGATACATTGGTTCCCCTGCGACAGACACACTTTATTTATTTTGATATTTAGAAATAAAGACATTTTTAAAAATGGGGTTTTACTAGCAGAGCTGAGATCAGATACATAAAGTTGACCTCAATTCCTCATTATGCAAAAAATAAATCTGCAAATGTCTCAAAGATCAGTGGAGCAACCATCCGAGCGTTGTTTGTTACAGGTGCTCAATACCAACGATCAGGCGTGTCTACTTTTATCTTTTTTCTTAATCTTTTCTTTGTTTCACAGAATTTCCCATTTATCTCATAGTAATATTGTCTCTTTGAAAACACTATACACAGCACCATCGCAGTTAATCAGAAATCAAACCTAAAGTTAAAGTATTTTCGGATTTTAATTCATAAAGTGAAAATTTCACTATGTATGTATATATGTATATAATAGTAGTTTCTTTTTTTATCTAATTAAATAAGACCAATAAAAATAATTCTAAAATAGATATAAATCAGGAAGGACTCATGACTTGAAAATGTACTCAGCATGCAGTCAATGAGACCGTGGGAAGGAGGGTGAGCCACAGAAGGTTGCTGCTGAAGAAACTGGGTTCTCAGAGTGCAAATTAGAATATCTTCCCAGATTTCCTTTTTTGCTTTTTAACCTGAATTTTCTCATTTTAGGATATTGCTATTTTATAAATAAGCACACAATGCTTTTCCCTCCTTAGGTGTCTTTTTTTTCTCTTTTCATGTATAAATCAACTTTCAAAATCTTGTTAATTTTCACATCATTTACTCTGGTATGTACCTGTAATCGTTCTTCTATCTTATACTTTTGCCACTGTCACTTTTGAATTGCTTCACTCTGGGACAGTACAAGTTGTTTCTATTCCATTAAAGCAAAGGTTTAGTGGAAGGAAAAAATTTGGTACCAAAGCTTTCAGAGGACTATGATGCAAAATTTCACAAATAAAAACTTTAACCTTTATAGGCCAAGTTACCATTTTTGATCAATTGCATTTAAACCAATTAGATGAGCGGCTGAATGATATACTACCTACTGTGAATTAAGTTGAATGAAACAAGTCAAGAAAAAAGGGGTAAAAAGCTAATTAAAAAGGTAAAACGTAAAATTAAAAAGTTAAGAAGCCTAGTTAACAATAAAATTTAGCTTTATAAACTAAAAAATTTAAGTGTCAGTATCAGCATTAATGCCTCTAAGGTTATGTTGCACCCAAAAAAAAATGTTTCTTTCACTCTGAGTGTTTTGCATGAATTTCTTTTAGAAGCACTTTTGTTTTTGTTTTTTAGGGCAAGTTTGAGTTTCTTGTTATCACATTGACATTCATTTTTGCCATCAGAATATCCATATTTTTTTAATGTTACAAAGGTAATAAGGTGTTGTCCTGGATTCCAATAACACTATTGGCTTGAAATTTTGATTTTTAAAGTATTTCACTGATTGCCCTATAAAGTGTTAAGACCTAGGGAAAATTTCAGGACTCAGGACACAACCATTTTATTCCTTGTGTTAAACCAATCCTTAACCAGAATTAGGATTGGTTTGATTGTTGCTTGGAGGTGTAATATCTTCCTTTCTGATATCTCCCATTGTATTTAGAAATAGGAGTCTGGGCAGAGTGGCAAAGAATCCCAGTTGTCTCTGAAAACCCTCTGTGACAATTAGAGGAGCCATATGATCGGCTGGTATTGGTTCACTAGGCTGCATTAAGTCTAAAGTCCCTGCAGCAGTTAACCATGACATTTTGAAACACCTCATGCTTTCCTCTGCCAACATGATTTATGGAGAGGCTTATTTTCGGAGGTGTAATAAAAAGGAAGATGAGAGACACCAGATTCAGCAATGCAGAGATGCAGTTTTAAAGCGAGTTTCAGGGCGCATGAGTCGAGCCACTGGTTGACTGCATCCATGGCACACTGAATTTCAAAACTAATTCCTGCAAAATTAGTTCTTAGTAAATACTGATTATATAAACTGTATAACAAATACAAAACTTTTTCTTTTAATGTACCTTATGTATTATTGTAAATTAAGAAAAATACATAAATTAGGGTTTTCCATTAGCCAACAAAAAATGTATTATTGCTATGTATGTAATACATTTATGAACAAGTGTAACACTTTGATTTCTAATACTGATATAAATTCACTTTTTGAAGATATTCCCATTTTTATGAGAGGAACCTGTATCAGACAAACTGCAGACAAAAAACAAACAAACTACAGAATTAAAGTACGCGGGTCCTCATACTTCACCAAGTGAGTAGTATCTTCTTGGGATCTGGGAGTCTGGATAGATGTTCTCTAGATACCAGGAAAATGGTTTGCACCTCAAGGCCTCTCTAAGAGCTTTGCGGGAGGAGACGTCTCCATAGTCCACCCGCATCACACCTGCAGGGGCCAAGAGAGGAGATATACATATTTATTCAGAGCAGGCCATCAGGCTGAATCATATTTCCCAGCTCTGTTTTCTTGCATCACCATAAAGAAACACAAGAGGGCCTCTCCTCACCAACATGTCAGCCCTTAAAAAACGTGTTTGCCATGTGGGTAATTAGAGGAGGATTTCCTTTTAAGTTATGCATCATTAACCTGCCTCCTGGGCCTATTTTACACATAGACATCTACCAAACAGCTGCACTGTTTAGGTTAATGCTGCTCTCAGAAATAGGCTTTAAGCTGCCAAATAAAAACAGCCTGATGTATCAGCGCTGTTGAAACTGAAAAGAAGGGAAGGATTAGACAGCAACTGGGCACAGACACAAACACATCGAGCAGATGGTTTGTCTTGCAGTGCCTCTTGAGGAGCCATAGCTCACGTGCGGATAGATACGGGGTGGTAATTTATTATGAAAGAGCTTGATTGCAAAGGAGGGAAAACAGCACTTCTTTTTCTTTAAAACAGGCACAAGAGTGTGACCATAAACTGAGTGCTGCAAAAACCAATCAAATAGAAAGGGACAAGCACATTCATGTACCAACCAAATGTTAACAATTGAGATATATTTATAGTCATTTGAAAAAAACATTTATACTGCTTGATTCTTGATAAATTAGAACAACAAATAGTATTTTACTGAAATTATAGTTGCAAGGCACTGCCATCATAAGCGCATTTATTTTAGAAGCTGCAGTTATCCACAGTTAAAGCAAGAGGGAACCCCAATGTAAAAAGAAGTCCTAAAATGTGTTAGACGACGTGCAAGGGACACCGCAAACGTGGTGCTGTGTTCAGATGAGATAATTTTTTGTTACAAATGTAAAATACTCTATAGCTGAGGTCTTCAACAGGGGGTCCGGGACCCCTAGGGGGTCCACAGAGGTACTGCATGGGGGTCGCGAAAGTTTTGGTTCATTGAACATTTTTTTTATATCCCTCCCTGAAGTTTTTTCCACTATTGAACTGTCTTTAAATCCACATTAACATGGATTCAACACACTGTAGTAAACAGATAAATGGAGGCAGAAGATGTCTTTCAGTCATCAATGCACACATTCAGCACCACACAGGAGCTCTTTCAAGCTGGGGGCCGTTTCATTCACAACACCTGTCCCATCAACCAGGACTCAGAATCAGAAATAATCCCAGGGAGAAATTACTTTTGTTACATTACTCCATCTGTAATAGAGTGACCATAGGACCAGTGTGATATAACACAATTTCATATAATTT